CACACCATTCGCACTGCCGATCTGAAAACGTAAAACCTTCATTATATGTGTAAGTATTTATTTACATATATATCATTTATACATATATACACCATATATATACATGTATATGTATATGTATATATATATATACATACACACACGAGTGTATGCAAATGTGTATGTATGTATGTATATGTATATATATATATATGTATATATATATATACGTGTGCGTGTGCGTGTGTGTGTGCGTGTACGTGCGTTTATGTGTGTTCATATTTAAATACATTGATGTTATAGAAGTGCAGACTTACATATGTACACACATCTAATACACTATTTTATACTTACAATATCAATTTTATAAATCTCAGTTGCAACAATTTCTGAATACATTTTCCCTTCACAATGGGAAATTAGGTTATGAAAATTGTATTTGCGTACCTTTTACATCTTTCTTCGCTGGTTTCCACTTGGACGGCTCTCTTGACAGACCCAGATCCTTCCCGTAATCGTCTCCGTACCAGCACATCAACTCGCTCCCCCTGTTCACAATTATTTTGGCATTGTTTGTCTGTATCTTTAAATATTAATGTGCACGTTATCACAGGCGTATGATCAGGAAAAGTTGACTTCACTACAATTATACTGACCTGCTAATTGCAGAGTCCGTCTTGTAGTAGATCTGCCCCTTGTACTGAAATGTAGATAGGTTGGTCTCAGCTTCAGTTCTTGAACAGTTGACGTAACGCATCCAGTTACTAACTGCACTGTCTACAGCATCAATGCACGTATTCCTTGTTCCAGTACCTCGAATCTGGAAGTACACGAAGGTGAAGAAATTTTCAACTTTTTGCGTAAGTAGATTTTCTCTTAAAATACTTGGTGGTTTACAGAAAACCACAAAAAAATCATTGTGTTACATTCATCTAATATCATATGTTTTACGCCACAGAATACACTAACCTTCCAGCCATAGCCAGATTCTTTACCGGCTTCCGGATGGCCAGATAGGACACGGCCCTCATACGGACCAAACACAAGATGGGCTGGGAGATGAGCATTGGTCCACACGCCTTTTCCTGCCCCCTTCACTTTCGAGTCGCAGACAGTGAGGGGCCAGGGGTTGTGAGGCGAGCACGATCTTTCTCGCTGCCGTCTCGAACAACCTGTCCAAACATGCCATTGGGACGATAACGCTATTTAAAACTGTGCGTGTGCATTTGTGTATCAAGATTATCAGTTTTTTGTGACCAGTTCAATTTTCAATCTAACCAAAGTTATGAGAGCATGACATTTTATGTTCGACATGAATGGCACACTTACGGGTTATCTAGAATAAGGAACAATGGATGGTACGGACACTCTCCCTCTTTCTCTTCTTCACAGTCTGCGCAATCTGCAGACAAAAAAGAATTCATGGTATCTGAATCTATCTACCTCATGTACAATCGTAAGTGCACAACTATTGTATATAATTTAAATTAAGTGAAGTGAAATTAATCCAAGATTATAAAATCCACGCAACGACAACTAGGAAGATGACTCAACGCTCTTTTCCTTACAAATAAAATCGTCATCTTTAGTAATGCTTTCTTCATAAAACAGCTTCCTTCTGCTACGACGTCGTGGGTACCGCGTCTTGGACTTCTCTCCCGAAAAACAGCTGTTTCCCCGACCTCTTCATCTGATCCTACACCAAGTGTTTCACTCTCAGCTGGAAGCTCTTTCACTGTTACCATCTCTGTATCTGTTGCCAACTGTGACATGGGAACTGAAAAGACCTCCTTGTCCTCTGGCTTAACATTTTCCGCAGCGGAATCTCCACTTGACCTGTCGGCTGTTGTTGGCATTATCTGGAAAATTCAAGAATATTTAAAGATCATTTCTTCATTTGTAATAAAGAATAAAATTTTAGAATGAGCTTGGCGACGCTGCAAATAATCAATAATTTTATATCATTTCTAAATAAACTGTTTTGACAATCCTGATATAATTGTTTAATTCTTTATACACGAGAAGATATTGGTTATAGTCTGCACAACCCCAGCGACAAAGTCGCACTAATAGTTAAAACTGTTTTGCAACATTTATGTTCCAGGACTCATGCATTTCTATGTCCAGACAGAAATAGAAGCGGACACGGAATCTGGATAAAAAAGGGAGAAGTGCATCACGCAAAAACAGACAAAGGCACGAAGACAAACCTTGACAGTGCCCTTTGCACCTGCCACCAACTTGGCTGGAGTCCATAACGGTATAACATCTACTTGGTCTACACTGAGCGGCGCATCATCGTAGTTCTCACTCCTTTCGGTCCAAGCTGGAGCACTCCACTCTGCCTTCCTCTTAAGACCGCCTCTTCTTCCACCGCCCACGTGTCCACTTTTGATCGCATACCTGCAACAACAATTAATCTCCATTATATAAGCTTCCTAAAATGAGTGTGCACGCGTCCTCATTCCCTATGCCCAGTGGAATCCTCGCCCTACCTGCTAGATCTCTCCTTCTCGGGCGTCCACTCGTCGTCTCCCTCGTCGTCGGGGACTCGAGGTGGCCTGGCTGTGGGCGCGACGAGCCCGTTGCGTCGCCTCCTCTGTTGTCGCACGACGAACTCCGGGACCTTGGGGTCCAGTCCTGAAAGTGCGCCGCAGTTGTTTAAGAGACTTTGGAGAGGAAATGTGTATGGGCCGGTGATGAAGGAAATCCCAGGATCCAGTGAAGCATTTTGGTAAAACCATGATTATAATATTTGAAACTGAAGAATCTAAATGACTTTGTTTAGGAGTCTTTGCATTTTGCACAAGCGCATGCGCGCGTTTCAGATGTATATCTAGATGTCTGCGCATAAGATTTTGTGTGGGGAAGGGGGTATGTGTGCATATGAATGAAGAACAATAATTGCATAAATACCACATGTATTCACAACTACGATTTTCCAGGCAATGTATTTGCTAACCCTCCGCTTTCATAACCAACGAGTCTTACATGGATGCCAAAAGCCTTCGAGATCATCGTGTTTCCTTTACCTTCTCTTGGCTTACTCTCTACATTTCCTTTTGCACAATTTCTTCTGCCTCTCGGCGCTCCAACAAAAGCTAATACACCACCACTTTTTTCTACAAAGATGGAGCTCGTAAAGGGCATCGGGGGTTGAGTCCATGCAAATCACAGGCTAGTTTATTCCCCTGTAGCTATTGGCGTGTTAATGATTCTTACACCGTCGTTTCAGTCTTTTCTCAAGCGGTGGAGGTGGGGGGGGGGGGGGTTGAATGAAGTGAGCGATGCGAGCCCCAGACCAAAAAAAAAATGAAAACGAGCTATTCTGGGAGTATTATAAAGGGACTACCAGAGCAAATTTAGGCAAAAAATATCATGGGAGTGTGGTTGGGGGGGGGGGGGCAAGCCAGACCAGAGGGGGTCAAAGAGAGATTTAGGGGTAATTTACCCCCCCCCCCATGACGCCCTTTTGCAGTTTATATTCAATTCAATCCAATGGTTTCCGTGTCAACAGCTTTTTTTGTTTTAACAATGAATTTCCTTTTCAGTGGATGCCTTTGTCTCCTTTTAAGAACTGACACGTCTCTACGGCCTCACTCCAGAAAATAATCCGATTCCGCTCAATATCCGACGAGAGTGAAACGGACATTCGCAGCGACACAACTCACCAAAGTCTTTCATCGCTTTGTAGTTCCTCAGGATATTCTCGAAGCGATTCTTCTCGATCTCCGGGAAGGAGAGCCATTCCTCCGTCGAAAACAGTTGCTTTGCGTCCTCAGCCATCGCCCTTTTGCGGCCGAGAAGTCTGAATGTTCCCCGAACCCAGCGTCGAATGGTCGAACGGATGCCGAGGCTGTCAGACTGAGCTGATTTGCGCGGGTCCTGGGCCTGCCTGGGCCGTGACGTCATCATGACGTTTTGTTTTGGTCACAACCATGAATTCTAGTCTTCATAAGCATAAATTTTTATCTTTAATTGTGACAAAATAAAGCAATTAGATAAAGAAGGCCCTCGTCATAAGATACGCCTTGATTTTTGTTGTTGAAGAAGTTTAGGCCGCTCAGCTGCGAGAGCATGACGTCACGACCAAACCGTTCGCGAGAATCCGCCTTAATAAGATTTCCCGCCAAAAAATCATCGCGTTCATGATCGCTTTTACATTCAAAGAAGCGAGTCGTTACTTGAACTGGGATTAGCACTGATATTTTCTGTCATCAGAACAAAACAAGGGAAATTACAAACTACGTCTGTACGACTACAAAAAGAGCCCAACGCTATCAAAAATATATAAAGGCGTGAGGCAGGGCAGCCCAGCTGACTATTTCGTAACGCTTTAGTCTTTTGTTTATAGTTTTGCAGACCTTCTTTGGTCATTCTTGAATTCCAAATCTATGTTAAAGGAAATCTTTTTATCAGAAACGATTACTGTCTAAATATTTCACATAATTCAACCTATTTAAGTAAAAGTAAAGGCACGACAGGGTTAACCTAAATGCTACTCTTCGTTACAGATGTGATTTTTACCTCATATTTATCTATTCGGTGTCTATAATAGATAATTAATTACAATGATTAATATTAGTTTGTAATATATGCGACCACATGTGTTACTATTAATCTAAAAATGTTAATGCTAAAATGACATTTTATCCGAGCCAAGGATCGTTATTTCAAACAATACATGTATTTCATTTTATATTTTAGATATTGATAAAGGCGGTACTATCTTTCTTTAGATAACTGACTATGATGTTTAGTTTACAATTGATTTGATGTCCAGTTTTCTTTTTCATTCCTTTCGTATGCTATCAAACGAGCATGTTCAGAATCCTTATATACGTATATGATTATACACCAAAAAAAAATCCACTTTAATTCTCAGTCCGTTAAATGTTTAGATATTTATGTTTTCTCATGTTATTCTTTTATTATTATTAGTAGTAGTAGTAGTTTCTTATCTCGCGTTCATTTCCATGCATATTAGACACGCTATATATAATTACTCAGAAAATAAAGAAACAACGCGAGGAATTAAGGTTAGCCAAACTTTTTTTTTTTTTTACGCGGGTCCTGGGCCTGTATGGGCCCGTGACGTCATCATGACGTTTTGTTTTTGTCACAACCATGAATTCTAGTCTTCATAAGCTTAGATTTTTATCTTTCATTGTGATAAAAATAGAGCAATTAGACCAAGAAGGCCCCTCGTCATAAGATACGCCTTGATTTTTGTTGTTGAAGAAGTGTAGGCCGCTCAGCTGCGAGAGCATGACGTCACGACCAAACCGTTCGCGAGAATCCGCTTTAATAAGATTTCCCGCCAAAAATCATCGCGTTCATGATCGCTTTTACATTTAAAGAAGCGAGTCGTTACTTGAACTGGGATTAGTACTGATATTTTCAGGGGGGGGGGGAGCCAGACCAAGAGGGGGTCAAAGAGAGATTTAGGGGTAACCCCCCCCCCATGACGCCCCTTTTGCAGTTTATATTCAATTCAATCCAATGGTTTCCGTGTCAAGAGCTTTTCTTTTCTTTTAACAATGAATTTCCTTTTCAGTGGATGCCTTTGTCTCCTTTTAAGAACTGACACGTCTCTACGGCCTCACTCCAGAAAATAATCCGATTCCGCTCAATATCCGACGAGAGTGAAACGGACATTCGCAGCGACACAACTCACCAAAGTCTTTCATCGCTTTGTAGTTCCTCAGGATATTCTCGAAGCGATTCTTCTCGATCTCCGGGAAGGAGAGCCATTCCTCCGTCGAAAACAGTTGCTTTGCGTCCTCAGCCATCGCCCTTTTGCGGCCGAGAAGTCTGAATGTTCCCCGAACCCAGCGTCGAATGGTCGAACGGATGCCGAGGCTGTCAGACTGAGCTGATTTGCGCGGGTCCTGGGCCTGCCTGGGGCCGTGACGTCATCATGACGTTTTGTTTTGGTCACAACCATGAATTCTAGCTTGATGAGTATAGATTATTATCTTTAATTGTGATAAAATAAAGCAATTAGACCAAGAAGGCCCCTCGTCATAAGATACTTCTTGATTTTAGTTGCTGAAGAAGTTTAGGCCGCTCAACTGCGAAAGAATGACGTCACGACCAAACCGTTCGCGAGAAT